CCCCCCTCCAAAAAAAACAAAAACAAAAAAGCCCCAAGAAGGGACAAAAATATACGAAGGCCATCTTTGTGACTGATGTTTGGGTGGGGTGAGGGGAAGAGAGTGGTGGCAAAACATTGGTTCTCAGGCCTGCTAAAAAGTGCTCAGGCTGTCTCTGTGGAGGTTATAAGTTTTAGATGACACACACTCTCTCTCCCCCAATTCAGTGGGCTTTTTGGGTGGTGTTGAGGGAAGAAAAACAAAATTATAGTTGTTTGGGTAACCTTACAAAATATGAAAATATACAATTATGTATGTGTGTAATTCAACCTTTATTTAGAATTTCTTGACTTTCTAATGTTCAGGTTTTTAAGTATACAGTGTTCTCAAGTTCTTCTTCCCTTAACATTGCACAGAAGTTGACGTTTTTGTTTTCCTTTTCCATTGCTTAGAATGTAAAGGAGAATCAAAATCCTTTTTAGTTAATCCTAAATTCATAACCATGCTTGACTTTTTAAAAATACACAACTGGTCCATATTCACTTAGGAATATACATCTCCTTCCCATGATTGTGCTGGGTTACATAGTTTTTGATAAGTTAAATTGAAATTCTGTTTTGATTAATGGAAAATAATGTAAAATTAATGGAGTTGGTTTCTTAGGGCTGGTCCACACTGGGGCGGGGGATCGATATAGGAAACGCAACTTCAGCTACGAGAATAGCGTAGCTGAAGTCGACGTTTGCTATATCGAACTAAATGTACTTACTTCGGGTCCACGCGGCGCAGGCAGGCTCCCCCGTCGACGGCGCTTCCTCCTCTCGGCGAGCAGGAGTTCCGCAGGGGGAGCGCTTCTGGGATCGATCTATCGCGTCCAGATGAGACGCGATAAATTGATCCCAGAAGATCGATCTCTACCCGCCGAATTAGGCGGGTAGTGTGGACCAGCCCTTAGCTTTCATGTTTTGTTGTGCTATTCTGTGCCTGATTAAATTTCTTAATTTTTGTTTTTAAGGGGTTTGTGAACATTAGTCCGTGAAAGCTTACAGAAGTATTTTATTTGTATTGCCTGGAAGGATGTAGCTTCAGTTGATGATGAATCAGATTTTTTCCTAAACAAGATACAAGGTAGCCTTTTTGCTAAGCTTCCTAGTGTAACCAAGGATTTGTACAGATAAATTATAGATCGGGCTGTCAAGCGATTAAAAAAATTAATTGTGATTAATCGCGCTGTTAAACAATAATAGAACACCATTTATTTAAATATTTTTGGGTGTTTCCCACATTTTCAAATATATGACTTAAATGACAACACAGAATACAAAGTGCACAGTGCTCACTTTAGATTTATTTTTGATTACAAATATTTGCTCTGTAAAAAAGAAACAAAAGAAACATTATTTCAATTCACCTCATACAAGTACTGTAGTGCAATCTCTTTATCATGAAAGTTGAATTTACAAATGTAGAATTAGGTACAAAAAATAACTGCACTCAAAAACAAAACAATGTAAAACTTCAGAGCCTAGAAAGTCCACTCAGTCTAACTTCTTGTTCAGCCACTCGCTAAGACAAACAAGTTTGTTTACATTTACTGGAAATAATGACACTCGTTTAAAAAAAAATCAACTAATTAAATTTGTGACTGAACTCATTGGGGGAGAATTGTATGTCCCCTGCTCTGTTTTTTAACCGCAGTCTGCCATATATTTGATGACCCAGCACATGTTGTTCATTTTAAGAATACTTTCACTGCAGGTTTGACAAAACACAAAGAAGGTACCAGTGTGAGATTTCTAAAGATAGCTACAGCACTCGATCCAAGGTTTAAGAATCTGAAGTGCCTTCCAAAATCTGAGAGGGACTAGGTGTGGAACATGCTTTCAGAAGTCTTAAAAGAGTAACATTCCGATGCGAAAACTACAGAACCCGAACCACCAAAAAAGAAAATCAACCTTCTGCTGGTGGCATCTGACTCAGATGATGATAATGAACATGCATCGGACCGCACTGCTTTGGATCGTTATCGAGCAGAACGTGTCATCAGCATGGAAGCATGTCCTTTGGAATGGTGGTTGAAGCATGAGGGACATATGAATGTTTAGCATATCTGACATGTAAATACCTTGCAACACCTGCTACAAAAGTGCCTTGTGAATACCTGTTCTCATTTTCAGGTGACATTGTAAATAAGAAGCAGACAGCATTATCTCCTGTAAATGTAAACAAACGTGTTTGTCCTAGCAATTGGCTGAACAAGAATTAGGATTGATAACTACTAGGGGATATGATAGAGGTCTATAAAATCATGACTGGTGTGAGAAAGTAAATAAGTGTTATTTACTCTTTCTTATAACGCAAGAACTGGGGGTCACCAAATAAAATTAATAGGCAGCAGATTTAAAAAAACAAAAGGAAGTATTTTTTTACCACACAGCACACACTCAATCTGTGAAACTCTTTGCCAGAGGATGTTGTCAAGGCCAAGACTGTAACAGGTTTTGAAAAAGAACTAGATAAGTTCATGGGGGATAGGTCCATCAATGGCTATTAGCAAGGATGGACAGGGATGGTGTCCCTAGCCTCTGTTTGCCAGAAGCTGGGAATGGATGACGGGATGGATCACTTGATGATTGCCTGTTCTGTTCACTCCCTCTGGGGCACCTGGCATTGGCCACTGTCGGAAGACAGGTTACTGGGCTAGATGGACCTTTGGTATGACTCATTGTGGCCATTCTTATGTTCTTAATAGTATGAAGACCTCTCTTTTTTTAATGTAATTTATTTGGATCTCTGAGTCTTTATTTAAACCTTTAAAAATATACAGTGCTGCTTCACAGTCTGAGCTATATCACTTATGGACACGTTACATGATGCAAGTTTATCATGTAATGCCAGTACAAAGCTCCCTTTGTTGTAGTAGTCTTTGTTACAAGATTGCCTATAGTGTAGGGCTACAAAATTCTAGCTTCAAGAAGTTCATTCTAACCTCCTGCTTCACAATAGATTGCTCTCTCAGCTCTCAACAAAGACTCCTACAGAGAGGATGCGCTCTGTTGAAAATAGGTAAAGATATATGCAATAGTTGTATATGGTTTTGTTAACAGAACCAAAGCGATGTCTGGGAAAACCTGTGAGGGTCTTGAGAGTTGTGTAGAACTAACCTAGGTGCTTTATTAAGAGTATGAATTCTGAAAATGTATTGTCCTGCTGGTAAATGTGAAATAATATAGTGATTTCTTAAATATTTTTGTCTGGGAAGTAAATTTAAGAATGAGTTAAGGTAGAAAATTCAAATGAGAATTGCATTATTATAGTTTAAACAAGAAATCTGAAATACTAGAAAAAAGGAAATTTACTGTTCCAATACTAAACTTTGTCCTTCTGTTTTCTCCCCCCTTCTGCCTAAGGGTGGGAGATGCTAATCATTGGCCACATGAAATTTGTGTGCCTTGTTGAGAGTGTGAATTCCAGTGGTACGGTGATTAGTTGCATGTTACAACCTGTACCCACACTTCGAGATTGAATACAGCCTGGTGTCTATGTATCTGGTGCATATTGGGGCAGGTTAAGGGCATGTCCTTGGAACCCAGGCTCTATCCTGGAAAAGGCCCCAAATAGATCAGCAGGTGTTGCACAACAAATAGCTGATGGTCAGCTGCTGTTGCAGAGTGTGGGACTCAGGCTAAGTAGGAAAAGGAGAAATGTGGGTATGTCTGAGTCCTCTGAGGTTACATCAGATAATTTGGTGACTGGCCTGAGGGGAGGCAGAAGCTGAGCCAAAATCTAATCTAGGCATTCTATACTATTCATTGCTGTCATATGTGAGCACTAGAGTGACCAGATGTCCTGATTTTATAGGGACAGTCCTGATATTTGGGGCTTTTTTTTTTTTTAATATAGGCTCCTATTACCCTCCACCCCGTCCTGATTTTTCACACTTTCACCCTAGTGAGCACTGGGATTAAACAAAAAGGACTTTGCACGTAATTCAGGAGTAAAACCCACACTTGGTCACATGTGGTATTCTCTACACAAACTAACTAAACTATGTTAAAAGATTGTGGTCTCTTACCCATTTCAGAAGCAAACACAGAGTAAGTACACAGAGTTTTCCAGCCCATATCCAGAGAGGGTTGAACTGGATTGGAGTTGTGTATTTTCCCCTTACTACTGATGAGTGCTCTGGATAAATCAGTGTTGGAGGATTCTAATTGTCAGAAATTGTACTGCTCTTTTGTATTGTTGCTTCTTCTTGATGCTGCCGGCAAACAGGTGTTACGCTAACTAGCAGAGTGCTAAAGTTTCTCCAGAAGGGCATATCAGACATAGGTGCTGGAACTAGGGGTACTGTGGGTGCTGTCGCACCCCCTGGCTTGAAGTAGTAATAACAACCCAGATATATGGTTTCCACCTTCAGCACCCCCACTATAAAAATTGTTCTAGCACCCCGATATCAGACTGTGAGTGAAAGAAAGTAAAGCAGAGGGACCAGATGAAATAAAATCTGAATGGCGTCATCTGGAATAGGAACATGCTTTTCTAGTGCTACCACTTCCTGCAGGTGTTGAATCCAACATGCTGTAGCAGGTCAGTTCTCAGATCTTTTACCTCGTAGTTTGTTTTGCTAACAGAAGGGCACTGTCCAAGAATTTAATGAGAATCCCTGGCCGTGTGGACCTTGCTTCTAGGCACTAAAAGTTCCATAGTGTGTTTTGACGTACTGCTGTTTCAAACATGTAGTGTGCAGTAGCAGGGTCCATGCTGCCATTTTGTGTTCAGCTAGCGTGCTGTAGATTTGCACCCTGGATTGCCACACACTAGCTCTCCATGTACATAAACCCTACTAGAAAGTATCAAGTTACTACTAAGTGTGTAGTGTAAGCTCCCTTCACAGATTGTAACATGGACTGTAGCATGTGGAAAGTCTAGTTCTCAAGGGACAACCTAATAAAGAGGGTAAACTATGCAAATTAATCTGCAGAGAATGCATTGATCTTTTCCCCCCCTCCTCTTTGCAGCATGATGGCTGACAATAAAACAAAGTCCACTAAACCTGCAAACAAGACTCCTCCAAAGTCTCCTGCAGATCCGGCAAAAGAGCGAGCAGCCAAAAGGCTATCTTATGAGTCAAACAGTTCCCACGAAGGGGCCATGGCAGCAGAGCTTAGTGCTCTAGAAGAGGCTTTTAGAAAATTTGCCATCCACGGAGATACCAGAGCCACAGGAAAAGAACTGCATGGGAAAAACTGGTCAAAATTATGTAAGGACTGTCATGTGATAGATGGGAAGAATGTGACAATCACGGATGTTGACATTGTCTTCAGTAAAATCAAGTAAGTTCCTTCCCTTTTCTCGCTCCCTTGTCTTGTTATATTTTGCACCCCCCCCCCAGGTTTATATTTATATTCCCTCCCCCCAAAGCTGGTTTGACTCATAGAATTAACATTTTATGAGCAATAGCAGGTACAGCACACATGTACCTCTGCCACAATTACACCCGTTCATATTTGCTTTATGACACTTTGTTTGAAAATGTCCTTTAAACTTCTGAGCAGCTGTCCTTAGCTGAGTTGAGTGTTTCATGTCTTAAGCTACAGTATGTTCAGGAAAGATGCATGTTTGTCACTACAAGCTGCTAACTTTAATTAAAAAAAAAAAAAAGTGTTGGGTAAGTGTCATGAATGCTTGTACTAAAGGAGCTCTGGCTCAAGTCAGGCTACAGTGTTGGTAAGTGAGGGGTCACCCATGCATAGTTTTACATTTTTTAAACACACTTGTAAGCCAGAAGGCAGATTCACCAGCTGGGGCAGTCCAAAGAGCAGCCACAGACCCTCACTAGTTTTTTCCCCTTAGAGGCTAAGAGTCCAGTTTGACTGGGGTAATAAATAAGATTTTCTTCATGGTCCCAATCTTGTGTGGCATGGGCACGCATCTACATCACAAATACGCCATCCATTTTTTTGTGGCTGAAGCCTTCTACTTATCAGCCACCAAAAACTGGATGGTGTACTGGTAATGAAGACACATGCGCCTGCTGCCCAGAGATTGGCACTGCCAAGCATAGGCGCCAACTTTCTCCAGCACTGGTGGGTGCCCCTGCCACCCCGCCCCGACTCCACCCCATCCCCGCCCCTGGCCCCACCCCCATTCCAACCCCATCCCCAAAGTCCCCGCCCTAACTCCGCCCCCTCCCTGCCCCTATTGGATCCCTTCCCCAAATCCCTGCCCCGGCCCCGCCTCTTCCCCCAGCATGCTGCGTTTCCCCTCCTCCCCCCTCCCTCCCTGCCCCGCAAATCAGCTGTTTCGCGGCGCAAGTGCTGGGAGGGAGGGGGGAGAAGCAGGAGGCGGCGGCGCGCTCATGGAGGAGGTGGAGGCAGAGGTGAGCTGGAGCAGGGGGGCGGGGCGGGGCCACGGGGAGCTGCCGGTGGGTGCTGAGCTCCCACCAATTTTTTTTCCATGGGTGCTCCTGCCCCGGAGCACCCACGGAGTCGGCGCCTATGCTGCCAAGCAAATTTTATTTATTACCTCAGCCAAATTGGAATCCTAACCTCCAAGGGGAAAAACTAGTGAAGGCCTGTTCCAAAACCCAATAAAGTCAATGGAAAGACCGTTAGTTCAGCGGACTTTGCATCAAGACCTAAAATTGCTATCTTACTTGCTTCCCCCTCCAAACTGCTTAAGTTTGATCAGATGTGGGGACACAAACATATCAGCTAATTAGGCCCTCTGTCCTTCATTACCTTAGAAGTTGTTTAAGTTGCACAACACTTAGTTTTATTTAAGGACAAATTTTCAGCCAGTTTCCTTAATTGTGCTAATAGTGCAGGAGTATATGTTTGCACATGCCCAAACCCACAGTTTCATGTGTAAATGCCAGTTTGAGGCCATGCAAATTGAGGCAGCTGCAGGTTCAATTAGGGAGACTTGCTGAAAATTTGACCCTTAGAGCCCACCAAAGATAAGAAATACAGAGAAGAAAGGACCCTTTACCCTTCATGGGTTGTCCAATGTGATGTACACGAGTCATAGGATATCATGTCATTAATTCCTGAATGAATCTATTGTTTATGCTTGAACAACCTCATCCACTGGCTTTTTCTGAATGGGGGAAAAAATGCTGTTTGTGGTGAGTGTTTTTCCTCTCACGGCTGTTTGCTTCTTGCTCTGTCTTCAGCTGACAAGCCAGCGTAGGCACTCCAACCCTTTTGTTCTTGGGTTAGCCTCTTGCCATCTCTGCTCCCGTGACAGTATTTTTCCGGAGATTCTGTTGCCATAACCAATCTCTGTATTTCAAGTGGAATCTTATCAGTGAACTAGCCCATTGTAGTAGATGGCTAAGCTTGGAGGTGTTTGGGCTTGCAGTTTTGTGTTTTAATGAATTTTGATGGATGATGTCAATGTTTATTTTCAAGTATTCTTTGGTTTTGATAAACTTAAATATTTGTTTGTTGCTAGCCTAACAGGAAATGACAAATCCTAGGGCTACTTTCTCAGGCCAATTTCCATGCAGTAAATGATGTGATAGGCCCTTAGTATTGCAGAAACTGGCTGTGCACTAGATTGATGGATCCCGAGGACTCAGACCTGATGCCTACTGGGGTGGAGTGGATTCACTTATGCTCTGTGGGAGTGAGGTGTGGATCCAGTGGTGCAAGTAGGGTGGTACGGTACACTGTACCAGTAAGCTATTTATAGCTGGTACGGCGTACCGGAAAGACACAGGAGGAGCAGAACGTGTGGCCACCGCGTGGCCCCAGGGTGGCAACTCCTCCAGTGCGGCTGTACCGCCGCCAGCTCTTCCACACAGCTGCATGTGTACGTCTTCTGTCCTGTCCACCCCACCTAGCCTTCCACTTTTCCTGTTAACTCTTATAGTCCGGGGTCTGTACAGCAGTCCCGCCGGAGGACAGGGCTGGGGGCGGGGCTGCCGTGCCGGAGGAGCTGCCGGCATGGGGCTGCCCAGCGGTCCCACGGTCTGCTCCTTTCACCGTTGCAGTTTTCAGAAGAGCCCTGCAGCACAAAAGGAGCAGAACCCCACGCCGGTAGCTCCTTCAGCATGGCTGTACTGCCCCCTGCCTTGTCCACCCAGCGCTGTCCTCTGGCGGGGCTGCTGTATAGATCCCGGACGGGACTCAGCAGACGCAGCTGCGTGGAAGGGCTGGGGGCAGTACAGCCGCACTGGGCTCGGTTGTCAGCATGTCTGAAAAAAATATTCTCTGCTGTCAGGGGGAGCTGGTTTGAAGCTCTTCTGCTGGCAGTTCCCAAAGCAGGTGTGACTGTGAAGTGGCTATTGTTCCAGAGAGCAAGCCCTGCTCTTCTCTTAGTAGCCCACACAGCAGCTGTGCCATGTCCACCCATGGGAGCGCTCCCCTCCCCAGGTAACGTGGGATGGATCCTGGGGAGGGGGAGAGTGTGGGGCCCCGGGCTGGGGGCAGGGTGGGGTCACATGGGGACGTCATGCACCTCTTCTCCCATCCCACCCCCCTTAGCTGGTGCTGCGTACCGGTAAGAAATAAATTCTATTTGCACCACTGTGTGGAGCGTTAGGGACATGGGGCTAGAGGGAGAACACACTGATATAAACACAGGCCACTTCCACTCCCCAGTGCTCCCTATTCCCAAGGAGGTAACCAATACATGTTTTGCTGTATAAAAATAGCCCAGGAATTCCTGATGTCTCAACCTTTGCTGGAACGACAGAGCTGCAGTAACTCCCATGCAGCTATTACAGGGTTAATTGCTTCCCTCTTTAGGAATGGGGATCACTGGGTTCTTCCTCTCATGACTGCCCTGGGGTGCTGGCTCTTCTGCCTGAAAGAGCCTTGTCTTTTCTCCTGGCTGTCTGCTTCCTTCTGGAGCTATGCAGTGTAGTTGTAGACGTGCTGGTCCCAGATCTATTCAGCGTGGGTGAAACCAAACAATCACCATGCTCTCAAATGAACTCACACAGAAAAATGATAAAAGACAAAACCACCCTCCCACCCGTGGGTGAACACATTTCAGCTATCACTTCGTATCTGACCTCTCAGTTCTCATCCACAACACGTTCCAAAGACAAGCCTGGGAGCTTAAATTCATAACTCTGCTAGACACTAAAAATCATGGATTGAACAGAGATGCTGGATTTATGGTTTATTACAACAACCTATAATCTACTAATTGCCTCTTTTTGTCCTATGACTGCAGAGATGTCAATGATTCACTTTACCTTGAATGGTCCCTTAGCATATTTGCTAACTACTTATGCTAAACAATCTGTGCCACCTTGCATTTAGCTGTCACACTCTTGAGTACCTTTCCCAGCCCTGAAGGAGAACTCTGTGTGGTTTGAAAGCTTGTCTTTCTCACCAACAGAATTTGGCTCAATAAAAGATATTACCTCACTCACCTTGTTTCCTTTTGGAGCTGTCAGCCAAGGACAGTGCTGGAAGAAGGGAACTTGGCCTCTTACCTCCCGTCAATCAACTGGAGAAACCAGTCTTCTGTTACCTTAGGAGACCGTATGCATGCTCATTGCCTCTTTAATGTCATTCCTCAGTGCCCAGGCGGGGTGGAGTCATGAGTAGGATGTAAGTGTTGAGCAGCCACTGCTGGTTGGGTGGCTTTCAGAGGCTTCTAGGCAAAGGTGCCAGGACCCAGGATTAGCCTTCAGGTACTGTGTGTTCCATTCTGTGCATCCGATGAAGTGGGCTGTAGCCCACGAAATCTTATGCTCAAATAAATTTGTTAATCTCTAAGGTGCCACAAGTACTCCTGTTCTTCCTTCAGGTACTGTTGTCTGTTGATACCTGAAGTCACTGCATTTTTAATAATTGGAAGATAAAATAATTTATTTTAGAATATTAATTCCTTATTAACTAATTGCCCACCCATTGTCGGCAAGTGCAGCATAAGTTTTGAAAATTCCCTCTGTATATATTATTATTTTTAGCTATGACATTTCTTTTTGTATTTTATCGGTGGAGGGAGAAATAGGCAATAACTGTCATTTAACTGTGAAAATTTCAATATTTCAAGCCTTCCTTAAAAGATTCTGCCACATCATTTCTGTATACCCTTTTTCAATAGTTATTTTTCCAACTTGTTTTTTGTGATTTGTATTTTTTTGTTTTGAGGAGTTGGTTCATTGTGACGGAAGCTTTCATTTTCACTAGAGATTACGTATATATTTCATGTAGCATTTTAATTATGACAGGTGTGTTAACAGGATCAGTGAAATCCTCCGAAGTGCTGAACAGTGCACACATTAAAAAAGTTAAATAAAAACTAGACTGAAATCTTATACGTGTAAAAGGCTAAGAGGATCAACTGCTGGAACGCTGGCAATGTAGTC